GGATTCAAAAGGACTAGACTCTAGTTTTATTTCCGTCCTATGGCTTGGCGGGACAGATTGTGTACAGACAGACAATCAGACTTATCTGAACCGCCCTTTCCAGAATCTAAAGTTTACAACTTGCTGTCTATCTTCTTGCCTGTAGACACCAAGGATCCAATTTTTGCGAGAGCTTGTTCCGCTTCATGTTCGATGCGGCTCAGAAGCTCGTCGCAACTTGGTATATCATGAATCAACCCCATCACTTGCCCAGCATACCAAACCTATCACTAACGTTAGCAAACTTTCCACATTTTAAGTGGCTTTCTTACCCCTCGATTTATATCCCCTTCAATTAGGACCTCCCGACCCCTCGCACCACTAACCAAAGGAGCCACCTCCTTAAAATCCCCGATCGCACTTTCCCTCTCAATCCTGAGCGCCGCAGCCGTAACATCATTAGAGAAAAGTCTCGTAGTGTTCGTCCACCTCCTCAACAGCAGCGTTGAATCCTCTTCACCGGAGTCCACAATCGCCTTCTTCACATTAATATGCACCGGCGCCTCAATCGTGCAAACAAATCTCGTGCCCATGTTGATGCCTGCTGCCCCAAGAGACAGCGCAGCAGCCAGGCCCTGCCCATCCGCAAAGCCTCCCGAAGCAATAAACGGCACGTCCCCAAATTCTTGCCGTGCTCGACTCAAAAGAATGAGGGAAGTGATATCCGTCTCTCCCACATGACCTGCACATTCAAATCCGTCGATGGATAAAATATCTACTCCCATTTTGATGGCGGAGCGAGCATGCTTGATGGTTGTGGCTTTGTGGATCACGATGATGCCTGCTTTTTTTAATGCCAAGATTACGGGTTTGGGGTTGTTTCCTGCTGTCTCCACGATTTTTACGCCTTCTTCGATGATGACTCTGGTGAAGGCGCCGTAGTCGGGGACTTTCAGCGCTGGTAAGAGGGTGATGTTGACCCCAAACTGGCCGACAATAAGCTTGCGTTGAGTTTCACACGGGGGAAATCCTACCGGATTCTTTGTCAAAGTTCTTGTTTTCTTGATCTCCGCTCGCAGGGACTCTGAAATCCAAGTCGGTTAACGCTGGGTGGTAGGGCGTGGGTAGTTAATCACATACCCGGATCAGGCTGCGTCAGAGCATTGATCTAACATTTCAAGTCAGCAGATGGCAATTTGAATCGGAATGGTAACTCACGATTCCCAATCCACCAGCGTTGCTCACTGCGGCAGCGAGTTCGGCATACGCAACCCATTGCAACCCTCCTTGCACAACCGGAACTGTCTTGAATATCAGCCAAAGAAATATGGAGGGGTATTGGTGAACTTCACTCGAAATTCCTAACTTTCTTGTCAAAGCAGTGTCCAAAGGCATGATTGCAGTAATTCGATTGCCTCTCAACTTTCATATTCATATAATGGACGGAAGTGATTTTGAGCCAGCCAACGAGGATTAAAAGAATATTAATACTGGGCTTACGGCCGCATGATACGCCCATACTTTTGTACCATAGATCGGGGGCCGAACGCTCAATGATTAATAATCTGCCTCGGTGGGGATAGGTAATAAATAATCTCTAGGGGGGAATAGAGTCGCCGAGGTTGATTTGACGTACGGCCAACAAGTCGGCCACTTTTTAGCTTACTATGGGGCTTTAATATACATGTTTCGGCGACTGGTAGCTCTCAATGTAGAGTATCGATGATGACTTCTCCATGGCACTGCGTTTACCCAATTTTCTGTAGCCTCAGAGTTTCGTTCAATAATAGTGTCAACATTTGCGCTTTATGAGAAACATTCATTTCCTCACCCTTTCTGCATATAAGCAGAAAAGTCCATGTTTTGACATCCACGGTAGTAGGTAGAGCCATATTCCTAATCGAGCAATTGATCATATAAAGCCTTGAAATAAAATCATATAATCGTTCGCTGAATTGAAAATGCTAAACTATAGCTTTGCCTTCCTGCCCCCCTCCTGCTCCCTCTTCGCCTGTTCTGCCAGCACTCGTCTCAAAACTTTCCCAGTAGCATTCTTAGGTATCTCATCAATAAATCTGATCCCACCACGCAACTTCTTATATGGAGCCACTTTCTCATGCAACCATGCACTGATAACTTTCTCCAAATCTTCACCAGGTGTGTGACCCTCTGCAGGAACGATGTACGCCCGCGGTAACTCCGTCACCCTTTCTTTGCTGTGAACTCCGACCACCGCGACATCATTAACAGCAGGGTGCCCTAACAACAAACCTTCGAGCTGTGCAGGCGCAACTTGAAATCCATTGTACTTTATCATTTCTTTGAAGCGATCGGTAAGGAAGATGTTCCCATCATGGTTGATATAGCCAATATCACCACTGCGGAACCAGCCATCGGCGATAGCATCGGCTGTTGCTTTTGGGTTCTTGTAGTAGCCTTTGAAGACGTTGGGACCTTTCATCCAGATCTCTCCTTCCTGGCCCGGTGGAACCTCGTGCTCGCCCTCCATGACTTTCATGCTCATAGAAGGCAGGAGTTTGCCTACTGAACCGGGTGGCTTGTCCCAGCTTTCCCTACTCTAAACGCTTATCAGTTGAGAGATCAAGGAACGTCGGAGTGGGATTTACTTGAGTAGTAATCGCAGGCGATGTTTCTGACATTCCGTAACTCTGCTTGATTGGCACCTTCAATCGTTTGTAAAACATGTCGATCAAGTCGGGGCTGAGAGGTGCGGCAGCAGAATGCATTTCCCGAAGTGAACTAACATCATACTTGTCCACTACCGGATGTTTTGCAAGGGCAAGTACCACCGGTGGCACGACATATGCAACTGTAATCTTGCTGGACTGGATGCTTTCACATAGCTGTGGCAGGTCGAACCGTTGCATAATATGCACAGTGACTCCCTTATACATAGGGTGGAAAACCATAACCGCAACACCTAAGTAATATTATGTTAACATATTGTGTAGTTCAGAGATTTTTTTGCTCCTTAAATCATACCGTAAATATGAAACATAGGCAGAAAAGAGATGACTGAATCATTATCCCAGGTCACCAGATGTTTTTCTGGTGTATTGCTCTGCAAAATGTTGACAACGATGTTCTCATGCGAGAGCATAACCCCTTTCGGAAGACCCGTAGTCCCAGACGAATATACCAAGAACGCCAGGTCCTCTTTAGGATTTATCGACACCTTTTCTCCTCCAGTTGATGAATCTCGCAACGACGAAAAATGTTTCGTCCTTCCCTTCGTGTCAGGCCCTCCGATGAGTATGATACGATTGAGAGGCAATCCCACGATGAGAGCAGCTTCTCGAGCTACTTCGAGGCAGCCCAAGTGCGTCGTCAAAGCTTTGGCTCCAGAAGATTTCAGCACCGATACCAATTCTCCAACAGTGTAAAGATTATTTACGGGGCAAACGGTGCCGCCTGCCCATAGGATTCCCGACACAAGAGCTCCGATGTCCGCAGTGTTAGGAGAAAATAGGACCATGACGTCGCCCTTTTGCCATCTCCATTGGTTTTGAAGACCTCGACCGATTTCGGCCGATGCCGTGCGAACGTCTCGGAAGGTATGCCTCTTCTGTGTTGTGACATCTACAAAAAGTACTTTGAGGTGTGTTAGTTAATCTTATATAAAATTATGAAGAAGTAGGCGCTGCAGTGAAAAACAAAATTACCGTGGTCGTCTGGATATTCCCGATCTGGTCTTTCAAATAAGAAAGTCCAAAAATCGACTGGCGGAATCGAAATTGGAGGGTGGTGAGAATCGATCGGCATGATTGCAAAAAATGCTTATCACCTGGCGGCTTTCAATCCCAAAATTGGACGAAAGGACGAAAGATCTCGAAAAAGACGGAAACACAGGAGGGAAGCAGGATATTTTAGCTCCCGCAGGACTGAAAGGAAGGTTACGTCCGTAGATTTGCTACTGATTCCGGAGAGTTCCCAATGTCTACAAGGATCGTGGTTGGCGGCGGCCGGTGGCCCCTCCAGCGGGCATACATTTACCGCCCGACTTAACGTTTTCTCATCAAGTGTAATATCTGACACGAAGTTCCGGTTCGGGCAATTTCTGAATATTTCACGTGGCTTTCGGCGTGTCGGCCAGATTAATAAACAAACTCAAAAAAGCATTAGAGACATGTTCCTGCCAAGATGTCTCACTAAAGGTCAAAAATGGGTGCTAACAAGGCATTTTCCCCGCGAATTCGATGATTATTATTCAGAAAGCCAAAGCCGAACCTCGCCTCGGCTGAAGTCAGCGATTCAGCTCCTCCTACATTTTTTCAATAATTTTCATTTTCATGCTTATTTCAAAATACGCCGAGAGCAATTGAGGAGATTAAGAAGGCATTAAATTACTACACCAAGTACCTCGGTTCGTTTGACGATGGGTCGACCGAATGGTAGGGAGCTCACAATCTTCATCGACTGCGGTTTGTTCACATTCCCATCATCCATCTTTTTCACAACTAACATCATCTCAAAGTATCTCCCTACTCCTCGTTTGGATTCACCAGCACCAACCGCTACCGACCTCTTCTCGAAGCCCACGCTGTCTCCGTCGACATCGTCTCCTTCTTCCTGGGAGGCGCACGTGAGAGTGTAGGAAATCCCTACACGCCCAGACCGAATGGAAAGAGGCATTCTCGGCTCAAGATAGTGACATGATAGGCCGCTTGCTCGGACTCAAAGTCGTGCTAACGAAAGAATTTCCTGTTTCTTCACTTTATTGAGATTCCTACCCATCCGTGAAGGTAAATCGAAGTAGAACTGACATAGGAATAGCGTGTAAGGGTTGCAACATGGATTTTGCAACATGGATTAAAGACCATTATAGGCAGATAAGTTTGAAGCTACATTTGAAGCTCTTGTGTCCGGGTATTGGAGCAAAGGGATTAACATCTCCAAGACGGAATACATCATCAAAGCCCTGTATGGATCTTTTCGGAAGCAGAGCTGGAGGATATTTTAAGAATTTAGTATCGCCGGAAGGCAAGAAGAGGGTTATTGATCAGACGCTGAGCGCAGGGGCTTTTGACGCTCCATGGATTATTGCAGTGAATAGTACTGGGGAGAGGAAAGATTGGTTTGGAAATCATCGGTGGGATCAGGTTCTTGTGTATCTCGAAGTACCCTATAAACCTGTATCCATTGTTCCTCCTGGCAGTAGCAAGCTATGAATTTAGCTTGGCAGACATCTAGAAAGAAGGTCTTGCGATTTCTGCCCTTGTTGTTCATATATTTTTGATCCGGATATGTCCATGACCGAGATCTCACTTGCATTTACGGAGTATATGCCATGGGGTCCGATAATCACCATCTATAAAGAGGAAAACAAAAGAAGCTGAAATATATGGATCTTCACTGTCCGTTTCAAAATTTAAATTTAAGATCATTTCCACTATCTTATATGGCCATTGAATTGCCACTCCGAGAAAAGCCAAGCCTCCTCACCTTGCCTGCCCACCTACTCTTCAAAGCTTTGGAAACATCGACTCCTTCTGCGTCCTCACATCCAACTCCTGCGTCCAAGCACTTCTGGGCTGCGTGTGCAAAAACCAGTAAATCTTCGCCAAATCGACCGGCTGCAGAATGTACGCATACACCTCCTCCAGCTTCTCCTTCTCACTCTATCTCTCCCATTTCCTCCTCGTCACGCCCCCAATCAACTTCTCATCTACCGGACCATCGATAATCAAATGCGCTTCATGGATGTCTTTACTCTGGTACTCCCGCATGATTATCTGCGCCAGATATCTGAGTGCGAATTTGCCCGGCGAGAAACTACTTAGGCCTGGCGCACCGTGAAGGGTCCCCGTTGCGCCGGTGAAGATAATAGTGCCGCGCTCAGCGGCAAGCATATCAGGTAGCACGCATTTCAATGACTAAAAAGCGCCGAAAAGATTGATTTTGGCGAAGTTCTCGAATTCCTCGGTGGTTGTGTTGAGTATTGAGCGACCATTCACTCTCCGCGCGCCAGCGTTGTAGGCGAGCACCTGCACGGGACCGAGCTCAGAGCGGATGGAAGTGAAGCTGGGGATGACATCCTGTCAAAGCGGAGGTCCGTGAGGTAGTATCTTGCTGAGCCTTTCCCGAAGTCGGCTCCGATCCCTTGAACCATGGTTTGGAGTTTGTCTTCTGTGCGGGCGAGGAGGGCTACGATGAAGCTTTCGGAGACGAAACGCCGGGCGACTGCTTCTCCTATTCCTGGCCCTGCGCCGACGAAGGCGATGGCTTATTTCTTGCGATGCGCAGGGCACCTAGCATTAGACTGCGCTAAAACCCGAGAATGGGTAAGAGAAGTCGACCCGCAACCCGAACCCGCAGACCCGATGGGTAGACTCGACCAACCCGCAACCCGCCCTGAAACCCGCGGCTACATAATA